GCATCGAGAGGCACCCCCAGCCGTAACGGCCCCCCTCCCCCGTCCGTTCCGCCAGTCAGCGCTGGCAGATCGGAGCGGGGAGAGGGGAATCCAGCCCCTCCCCTGTCACGCCAGAGAGCCGTGACAGGATCGAGAGGTGAGCGAATGCCGGTATGTGTTCGCTCACCTCCCGATCTACTGAGCCGACCTGTGACGGTCTCATTGACACAGGTCGGCTAGAACTATGAGGTGAGTGGAAATCACTCACCTCATAGTTCTCCTTTAAGGTTTTTTTTGGTTTGTAAAAAACGAATTGGAGATGGTCTTCAACTAGTTCCAGACCTTGGACATAATAGGAGATATGCCCTAAAACCCCTCAACAATGTTCTCCTTAACCCTGCTTCCCCAACCTCTTTAACAGCGACTGAAATAATACTTCCAGTGTCCCTGTGCAGTGTGTTTGGAAATGTCAGGAATACAATGTAATAATATTGTTACATCGCATTTACAGCAATACCTTGGTTCACGAACGCTTCTGTTCACAAACAATTTTCACTCGACCTCATAGTTCGAGCCGACGTGTGACACTTTCGGCTCAATAGATCGGGAAGTGAGCGAACACATACTGTCACTCACTCACTTCTCGATCATCTCCCTGCAGAGAGTGGTGACTGTCACTCACGGCTCCTTGCAGGGATTCCCTCCTCCCCTCTCCTTTAGCGCTGACTGGAGGAACGGACGTGGGAGGGGGCTGGTACAGCTGGCTCTGCCTCTAGATAGGCCGAGCCAGCTGTCACGACAGCATGATTGGGATCCGTCCCGGCGGTCTCAGTATACCGCAAGCTGTAGCTCACGATATACTGAGCTTTGGGTCATGGGAGGATGCTAGTTTATGTCCTCCCATGACCCTTAAAAGAACTATGGGGAAAAACACTTACCCCATAGTTCTCCTTTAATGCATTCTCAGCATTAGGGTAAAAAGTCCCCCCCACACTCCCCCAGTCCCCCCCACACTTACCTGTCAGCTGCGCTCGTCCCCGACGCCGGTCCCGAAGCAATCATCCGTACCCCGAACTTCCTGGTTGTGGGGGGGAGGATACTGATGGCAGAGGAGCCATAGGCTCCATCTGCCATCAAAGAGAGAAGAGGCATGGCCTGCCACAGGGCTGTGTGTGTCTATGGACACACGCAGCTACTGCGGGCACGAGCGCCTCCATTAGAACCATGGTGGCACCTGTACAGGGGGAACATTGCTGCGGGGACCCACTAGAAAACGTGGAATTAAAAACTTTTCAAGAAAAAGGGGCTACAGCTTCAAGCAAAGTTGGGTCTCCTTGTAGGAAATATTTTTTTTTTTTTTTAAAAAGGAGGCTTTAATATCACTTTAACATTATTAAACCTGTGTAGACTTGAGCACTTCTATCCTAACAAAGGGTTAAAAAACTATAACCATTGTATGTTAAAGGGCAAGCTCACCTTATCACAAAATGTTAAAAAAAATTAACTTACTCACAGCACCCTCCTACTTTCCCCGGTCGCCGCTGTACTTACCGCCAGCACAGCTGGAGGGCCAGAGTTTGCCTACCCCTGGTCTACATCATTAATATAAAGTGGCTGCGTATTTTGGGGGTGCCCCGATGAAGGATTATGTGTATCCCCAAAACGTATTGGCTCTTTCATATCATTGTGTAGTTCCCTTCCTACATTTTAGATATTTGACGGGATTAGTCAAAAAGGGTCCACTGCAACTGCTGATAGGATTTGGAGCATTTGGGAGATCCCTCTACAGCGGGGTAGGCAACTCTGGCCCTCCAGCTGTGCTTTAACTACAAATCCCAACATGCTCTTGTCTCTGGGAGTCATCCCTGTAACTGTCAGTCTTGCAATGCCTCATGGGACTTGTAGTTCCACAATAGCTGGAGGGTTTGTGTTGCCAACCCTTGTTGTATAGCAAAGTCTATCACTGGACTTCCTTCTTACACCACAGCTCTTTGTTGTCCTCCCCTTCAGGGTCTGCCCATGCTCATCAGTGGTGGAGACCTACAGGCTATACAGAGAAAGAAAATGAACTTTGTAGCACAGGCGTGTGGATGTCATACCTTATTCACTTCCATGATTTCCCTTCTTTCCTCGCTTGCATATCGCAGCTGACTGGCCGGCCCACGGTCATCGTTCTTCCAGTAGTCATCTTCCACGTAGGGGATCAGTTGCTGGAAATGAACAGACGCAGCAATACATGACTAGCCCATGACTAGCCCTTCACAGATCACAGACAAATATACTTTTTGGGGAAGATATTTAAAGGCCAGCTCCCGGCAAACACAAACATCACCCTGGCAGAGGGGCTACCCCACACTGCAAGGGTTAAGCGCTCATTTTTCTCTAGGGGACTGGAGAAAATCAGATTTGCTTACCTGATCCCCACTCCTGCCGGCTCTCTCCTGGCTGCTAGACTGGTCCCTGCAGCCTCTTCTACCCTCAGCTGCAGCGATATACACAGCGCTAATATCATCACATCTAATGCAGGTTCCATAGACCTGAATCAGACGTGAGGACCCCAAGGAACATTCCACCAGACAGATAAGAGGGGGAGAAGAAGAGAGCATGGACTGGCAGGGGGATGAGGTTCAGGTAATAAATCTGATTATCTCCCGCCCTCAGACAACAAGCACTTAAAAGGAGAACTATGGGGTTAAGTATTTTCCCCATAGTTCTCCTTAGGGTAACGGGAGGACACAAACTAGCGTCCTCCCGTCACCCTAAGCTCAGTATACAGCTCGCGGTATACCAAGACGCCGCAGCTGAAGCGGATCCCGACAATTATGTCTGGATCCGCCCAGCTGTGTGAGTGACAGCTGGCTCTGCCTATCTAGAGGCAGAGCCAGCTGTACCCGCCCCCTCCCCCAGTCAGCGCTGGCGGAGCGGGGGGAATCCAGTCCCTCCCCCTGTCACGGCAGAGAGCTGTGACAGGATCGAGAGGTGAGCGAACGCCGGTATGTGTTCGCTTACTTCCCGATCTACTGAGCCGACCTGTGGCAGTCTCATTGTCACAGGTCGGCTAGAACTATGAGGTGAGTGAAAAGCACTCACCTCATAGTTCTCCTTTAGGGCCTGTTCACATGACCATTAGCTTTTAAACCGCCAGCTTATGATGACTGTCGGAGTCTGGACTGGCTTCAAGTGTAGGGGCAACAATGATGATGCGCTGGAATCTCACGTCATATTCTACAGAGATCATGTGACAATGCAAAACTGCCAATCAGAATTCCTTGAGAGAGAGAGAGAGAGAGAGAGAGAGAGAGAGAGAGAGAGACTTTTTCTATACAAACACTCAATTAT